AAGCCGGCCGGCGCCATTTTTAAATGCCGGCTAGTTCGGACTCCGTGCCGCGCGGCTACACGCAGCACGGACTAGCTAGTTCGGATTAGGCTTTGGATTAGGTACGTGGAACGAGGCGTACAGCTAGTTCGGATTAGAAGTCTAATCCGAACTATCTAGTCCGTGCCGCGTGTAGCCGCGTGGCACGGAGTCCGAACTAGCCGGCATTTAAAAATGGCGCCGGCTGGCTTCATGCAAATGAAACCCGGGAAATTCAAATCCCGGGCTTCATTTGCAACTGCGGATGACTACATTAGCCCCGCTAGTTCAAACTAGCGGGGTAGTGTAGACATACCCAGAGAGATCTTTTTATTTCATAGAAGAATTGTTATTGGTTATGTTTAAAGCAACTTTCACTCCTGTGACTGGGAAGAAGTCACATAAGAGCCAAGCAAAAGGATTCTACATGCACTTCTTAATAAAACTCAAATTGGAAAGCCAATTACTACTTTACAAAAGCAGTAAATTAGGGTTCCCATACACTCTATTGATCTGGTACTATAGCTCTTATTCATACCAGCAAGCTTCACTTACATGAGTGACGACTTATTTCAGTAGTTCAGGTGCTATGGGATCAATTCTGTTCTTAATAAGGCAATAGAAAACTCACATTGCTTTCATTTAGATCAGGAAATGGTCTAATCTAGGGATGGGCAATAATTTTTGGTGGGGGGCCACTCCAAGATTTTGGAAAGTGATCAAAAGCTGCACTTTTTGTGGAGATGCAGGGTCTAAGATGGAAGTTGGGTGCAGAAGGGTGCATGGGGTAAGGGACTGGGGTGCAGGAGATGTTGGGGGTCTGAGAGGGAGTGGGGGTGAAAAAGAAAGGGGTTATGTCCTGGGTCAGGGAAATGAGGTGCAGGGTCTGGGAGGATGTTTGGGTGCAGGAGAGGATTCTGGCATGGGGGAGAGATGTAGGAGGGGTCTAGGAGGAAATTGTGACCAGGGCAAGGGGTGCAGAGGGTTTGGATGGTGACCTGAGGGAGGGAGTTGGGGTGCAAGAGGGGCTCATCCCAGAAGGCATACCTGGGTGGTTGACAAATACCTTTGATGTCGGCTGAGCCGACAAACAGCTGATCAGCTGTTTGTCGGCTCAGCGCGGCAGCCATGTAAATTTAAATGAAGCGGTGATTATTTAAATCGCCGCTTCATTTTACTATGTCTGGTAGCCTAATCTACATGCCTCTGGCGACAGAGGCATGTAGTCTAGACGTACCCTTAGACTCTGTGCTTGTGAGTGGGTAAGCATTGCCTCCCAGAGGTACCTAGGGATGGTGTGTGAATTTCCCAGGTTACTTGGTGGGGACTCTAGCCAGTTTTGTGTGGGATGGATGGAGAGGAATCTCTACTGAAGTGGCCCTGGCTGCTGCTGCATCTACCTGCAGAAGAGTTACACTTATATTTATTGAGATAGGTAATAATCAGACTTATATGCACATTGCATTTATGTATCTAGCATTGTTCATACTAAAAGTACGAGACACGGAATTGCCACTTTGGTGTGACACATCTTATGAACAGTGACTGTTAAACTAATTTATACTTTTTTATATTTAAGAAACTAGCAGACATACCCGGCATTGCTCAGGTCTGTAACTGTAGAAATTAAAAAAAATAATGAAAAATATACATGTATTATTTCAATGACTGTATTTTTCAAAAAAGAGTGCTGGAGAGAGCGTTCAGAGGTGAGGCAGAGCAGGGGATAGGTGGCTTAGGGCAGAGGGTTGGGAGGTGTGTGGGGGCTCAGGGCAGATGGAGGAGCAGGACTTGGGACAGGGGGCTAGGAGGTGGAGGTGGAGGTGGGGGGGGATCACCAGGGCAATCCATGATGGTAGGATGGCGCTGCTCCAGCAGCAACTCCTCCCATGGGGCTGGGGCAGTGCTCCCCTGCCAGCAGGCCCCCCAGTTGCCCTCCACCACTGCCTGCAGGCTATCTGGAGAGGACCAGGCTCTGGAGGGTGCCTCCCCGTTCAGCGCCTCCCCCACAGACTCCAAGCTGTTTAGGGAAGAGAGACTGAGGGAGCTGCCATCCCATCCAGCTGCCCCCCACCCCAATGACTCCTTGGGCCTGCAGGCTTTGCCTGCAGGCTATGGGGGGGGGGGAGGAGCAGAGGCTCCAGGGGCTTCCCCTCTCCAGCTACTCCCCATCAGCAGCCTCCACCGTGGCCTGGAGGCTCTCCAAGGGAGACAGGCTCTGGGGGCTACCCCCCTTCCAGCATCTCCCTCCATGGTCTGCAGGATCTCCAAAGGGGGACAGGCTACAGGTTTGGGGCAGGGGGATCCTTACTGGTATGCAGGCAGGCAAGCTGGTGGAGCCCCAGCCCTGTTGGCCACTCTCAGTATTGCATCCCTCCTCTCTCTGTGCCTCTCCCTTTCCATGTTATAGGAAATAGTCCCATTCCTGGCACTACCCATTTTCCAGGTACAACCAACCCTAACCTGGGTTTAAGTTAGGATAAGAGGAAGCTGCGTACCAACTTTGATGGTCCTAGCTCTTACAATTTAGAAGGAGTTCTTCAACAAACAGATAAATAGATGCACAGACAGATGCACTCTAAAATATAGAGAGAGACATTGCAATTTTAGGTGGCCTGGGGGTAATCAGGATGGGCTTTACTGAAAATAATAACATCTTAAACATATCTCTCTATAAGATATAAATAAGTTTTTCCTGCTGCATGACAGAATAACTTCATCAAAGTTTGGCAAGCATAGCGAGCAGTGGGCGCAGCGCCCTAGTAAATGTTAAAATGTTAACTATAAAAGGGCATGTTTACACTACACAGCTTCTAGTGACAATGCTGTGTCAACACAGCCCTGTCACTAAAAGTTGACATGTAAATACTGTTTGTTGGCACGTTTGTGAATAAAATATTTCTAGCATCCACGAGTGGCTCTCTCTTGCCAGCAGGACAGTGCTCCTGCAGACAAAGTGGAGTTCACATGCACTTGCCACGGAAAAACATTTGTTGTTCGGTGTGCAGGTGTGCATTTAAACACCTGTGAACTCTGAAACTTTCATCAATCAATTGCAGGTGTAGACATAGCCTTAGACAAAATGAGACTGAAGCAGGCCTGACTAGTTAACTGTGATCAAATTATAACTTGTAAGGTACCATTATATAGAGGAAGGGAAAAGTAAAAACATTCACAGCTAATATGGACCTTCTCCTTTATTATAATCGGGTTCAGACAACCTAAACTGAACAGAAAGTTAAACACTCAAAAGAGAGGTTAAATTAATGGATTGCATATTGTATTACTGTCCTCTATACATATCAGGGGGTAAGTGTGGGGGGCACATGCCCCCAAATGCCATGGGTGGGAAAGGCAAGGAGCTAGTGAGGACAGAGTCTCTTTGGTTGTCTGCAGAACTAGTGGGAGGGCTGGTGCATGCAGCAGGGGTTGGCGGAGAGGGGGGAAAGCAAAGCAATGTGGTACAGCTTCTGGTTGCATCATTTGGGATTCAGTATCATCTCCCACATAGGGCAGGCCCTATGCATGTGCACATCACAGATGGCTGCTGCTCCTTCACCACAAGTAATGTAAGTTGTTTCAGTGGCAATAGGTAACTTGTCTCTCTCTATATATAAAAAAGATTTTCCTGACATTTGGCAGAATTACATCAGCACTCTGCTCTCATGCTCTCTGGCTGTGAAAGCCCCGCCTCTTATGCCAGGGGTCAGCAACCTATGGCTCCTGAGTCAAATAAGGCTCATTTTCAGCTCCAGCTCAGGCCCCTCTGTTCCTCCATAGCAGGGAGTCTATGCCAGTGCTCCAGCCTCACCTCTCCTCCCCCCATGAGGTTGAAGCACGAATGCTGGTTTCCTGAGGAAGGATGGGAAAGCCCCAAGGCTCCCAGCCAGATCCAGCTTGAATGCGTATTGCCACTTCCCTTCTCCCTCCTCCAGCTGGTGGAACACCAGCATAGGGACGTGTTTCTTGCAGGCTTTCCCCACTGCTCAGCAGGATGGTAATTGAGGGGGCTGGGATTGTAGGGTTTTGGTGGAGGGTGTGTGAGAGGGGGCTGAGGGTGCAGAGTCTCAGCAGGGAGGTGAGTCAGGTGGAGGTGTGGGTTCTTGGCTTGAGGGGGCAAGGCTGGAGTACCCGTGTGGGCTCCCAGCACAGCTCCAGTCCCCTCACACACCTCCTCCTCCCAGACACACAGCCCCCTCACACACCTCCTCTGGTGAGACCCTGCCCTGCCAAGACCCCTCACTCCCAGCCCCCTCACTCAGCCCCTCCACCAAGACCCTGCACACCCAGCCCCTTCACTCATCCCTTCCACCAAGACCCCACATCCCCTGCCTGCTCCTGCACCCTCCTCACAGCCAGACACCTATCCCCAGCCTGCTCCTGCCCCCTACTCCCTAGACAGACACCTACTCCCAGCCTGCTCCTGCACCCTCACCTGCTCTTGCACTCTCCCTCTGGCCCAACACCTTGCCCCCAGTCCGCTCCTGTCCCCTCCTCACTGGCCAGACACCTATTTCCATAGAGTGGAGGGTTGGCAAGTGTAGCTCTCATGCTCTCTGGTCATGAAAGTCACCAGGGGCAGAGGAGAGAGAGGGAGAGGGTTGGTGAGTGTAGTGAGCAGGGGGCATAGCTCCTTAGTATTAGTAAAGGAATTTTATCTAACGTGGAAGTGTAAAGTATGAGGTAGAGTCTTTGTGTTTATTTTCCAGGACCTGTTTTTGTTCAACTCTCCCTTTCTATTTCAGCTTTCAGTCTGTGTTTTTTCTGTTGTTTCTGTTGTTTCTGATTTCTGTTGTTCAGCCTCTATGGACTGTGGGTGCCACAATGGGCTGATAGCTGGGGGTGCGTGATGTCCCAGAGGGGAGTGTTCCATATGTCTGGTAGTTCAGAACTCAGGAAGAATGGATTTGGGGTGACTTTTGATCGAAAGAACTGTTGGTGTTACCCTACAAGGAGTAACTAAGCTGATGGAAGCCAGGGTAAGATTTTGTGCATATGGCCAGGCTGCTGGTTTCAGGCTGCTGGTTTCACCAAAGTGACACAATATAATGGCACTCGGGGTTTTAAAGGGCAAGCAGTGAAGAGCCCCTTACTGATATGGTTAGCCCCAAAACATCACTCACCCCCCAAATAATTTCATACCTATTCTAGAATAAGCTTCTCCTGTATTTGAAAAGAGAGTTTCTTCTTCACTTTCATTGCTTTCTGTTGTATAAAAGACATCCAAATTGCTAAACTGATCATGGCTGTTGGTATCAATTTCAGGATCTAGAATAAAAAAAGAAGTTACAATTATGTCAATGAATGTCATAACCAGACTGAAGAAATCCAGAATGCAGGACAAGTCAAAAGGGCAGAATTATTACTTCTCTCTGAAGCATTCATTCTGTGATGGTTGTGATAGATGTTGGTTCACTAGGATGTTGACTCCAAGTTAACTCATAGCACAGGGAATGGAAACCACATTTAAGGCTAACAAATCTAATTACAATGCTTAAAACTCTGGGCCTGATTTTCTTTCACACTGGTAAGAATCAGGAAGTAACTGATCAAGTCAGTGGCGCTTCACTGGAATAACTGAGGGCACATCTACACTACAGCATTATTTGGAAATAACTCACATTATTTCAAAATAACAAGGTGAGCATCCACATAGCAAGTGCATTATTTCAAAATTATTTTCAAATAACAGGCTTCTTATTCCAGATTAATAAACCCTCATTTCACAAGGAATAACGCTTATTTCAAAATAGCTATTTGGAAATAAGGTGTGTGTGGATGGCACAGCTGTAGTTATTTTGAAATAATTGGCCTCCAGGATTTCTCATAGCTGCCCTGGTGGCCACTCTGCCCATACCCCTCAGAACTCTAGTTTCCCTTCCCCTGCAGCCTTTAAAGCTGCATCCACAGGTGAAAAACTGCTTGTGGCACAACTCAGGCCCTGCCAGGCACCTGTGCCACATTGCAGGCCCCATTTGAGCTGCAACAGCTGACCCCAGGACTCCCACCAAGCCCCACAGGGCTGCTAATGAGCCGACAGCCAGCTCCCAAGCCCCTGCCCTGGATCTCATTGAGGTCTGGGGAGAGGAGGCTAATCTCCAGGATCTCTACACCAGGTACAGGAATGCTGATGTTTACAGCTGGATGGCTGCAAACTTGGGCCAGAAGGGCCACATGGACATCCAGGAGCAGGTGTGCATGAAAATAAAAGAACTCGGACTGGTCTACCCCAAGGCCAGGGAACGGCAAGCCAGTCCTGTCACTTTTATGAGCAGCTGCACTGCATCTTAGGGGGAGGTTGGTCCCTTTCCCCCATCGTCATCATGGACTCTGGCCTGGAGATGCCTGTTGTGAGCTTCCCAGAGGGTGGGGCAAGAAGGTGGACAAGGAAGAAGGCAGCCATCCAGGACATGATGCCCGCCAGATAGGAGGTCTTTTATTGTCTATTGTGTTACATCACTACTTTTTTATTATTTTTATTTTGTTGCAATGGAAGTTAATTTTATACTTTTTTTTTTAAACAAATGTACCACACAATTTTACTATTATGTTTGGGGTATAATTATATTATGCGTACCAATTTTTTGGCAAAGTTCAACAAGATTTCAGTTACAAATATATGTACATAATATTTGTGCCTCAACAAATATTGCAACTGCAAACAAAAATAATGTTTTTTATTAATTATAATTTTAATTTAAAAAAAATTTAATTCAAAGAAAAAATGTAAATGGAAACCTCAACATTAAGGTTAAGATAATATTAACAAAACGACAATTTTTGTATAGATTTTTACAAACTTGTTTTCACTTTTAAATATAATTAGAAGAATAACATAGCAATAATGTTTAAAAATAGCGATTTAAGCATAAAACAAGCCAAACTTTTTCACAAGGTTTCCACACTGGACTCCCAAGCAAAACACAGCTTCATAAAAGTTTAATACCTTCAAAGTATTTACATACACCTGTTTTAAAAATTCATTTTTAAACAAGGTGTTCAGCACGGGAAAACAATACACCACGTAGACAATTGTGAGTATCTATTTTAGCAGTTAAGCATTATTTTAGAATAAAATAATATTAATGCATCTCAAGTAAAAAATCAACGTTTATGCAACAATTGCAAAAGTTTAGCTTGTATTATAAAAGACATGGTCCTTATTACATTAAAAGCAAACTAAATTAATCCGTTTATTAAATTTGGGTTACTAAAACAAAGTTCATGCAAAACAAAAAACTTTGATTATGTTAACTAACTTAAGCTGTTTAAGGTTTCATCCTACAGACCAAAGACACCAGAAGATATTATACTACAAACACACCAGAAGATAACAGAATACAGTGAAAAATGCCTAAGCATCAATACAAGAAAAATGATGTGATTTATAAATGAGAGACTGTTCACCTCAATCTACCATATATGGACAATTAAGCTGGCAGTCATCTAGAAATTATTGTTAGTTAATATAAACTTGGCTACTGTGTAAAACCAACTGTTTTATTGCCGTGTCACTGTATTGTTGTATTATTGCTGTACACCATTTACAATGTGCATAACATTGGTAAACTGTTTAAACAACACGGGTAAAAATCAACATACAAATAGCAGCAAAAAATATGAAAAAAAGAGAAGAACAATTTTTTTTAAAAAAGAAAGAAATTAAGTTGCATAGAACTACAAGTTGGCTAAACAAATTCCCTGTTAAAACTAGTCATAATTTGGATTAGGGACATTGTACCTTAATTGAGACACACGTTCAAAACAATTTTGTTCTGTGTCTGGGTACCAACACTAAATCTCAACACAGCAATAATTAATAAATAGGTAACTGTCCATTCAGTGGGTTATCTGGAAGACAGCATCTATAAGAAATAATTGCATCTATATCAACTACTGGTGTATCACAGAACATTGCAACTAGTGGAACAGAGAAGCTAGCCATTCCTGGCTCCTGTCCAGCAAAGCTCATCCCAGAATGAGACAACCAGCAATAAGGGTAAACTATAATATAAATGGATAGTACTAATTACAGTACAAGACATTTATATAGAGGCCTTATTTGTAATGTCATTATTCCAAATTTCTGTTTTGTTTCTCATATATATAATTTTATAGGACACAGTATAACTATGCCTATTATAATATTCCAAAACATTCAGCGTGCTATTGATAATAATACAGATGGTAAGTATAAATGCCCTAATAGGAGTGTGTTGCTATCATGCCACCACAACATCAAATCACAGTACCAAATTGGAAAATAAATTATTATTAATTATTATAAAATTATTATAAAGTTGTGTCATATGTACACATACATACTACACATATATGCCCAATATACACTACAAGTATATATATACCATATCCATATTAATTTTTTGAGAATGCTTCTAAATAAATCTCAAAAGTACACTCCTCAGTCATGGTCCCAGGGTCTATCATAAAGGACAAAACACAGGTGGCAAATAAAATCTGAGCATCAGTCATACAAGGAATGTGCAGACTCAGGAACAGACGGGGCATAAATGTGTGAACAGTAAAGTTTAGCCCACTGGGTCACCTTCAGTCCACACATTATGCTTTTCCAGGATGATGGGTAAAAATCCTGCCCAGAAAAACCAAAAAGTGGGGGAATGTAGTAAGATGAGGGCCTGAAAAATCACATATCACAGGCCAGGTATGAGTCCTAGACAGCAATGGTGACGACTTTGCTAGTATAAAGCAAAGTTAAGCTGTGAGCAAGAGGCAGGTCTGCTTAAGGAAGTTGGCAAGAACAGGGCTGATATTACAAAAACACTCATATCTAAGAGGTACTAGGCACCAGGCTATAAGTACGTTCCAGAGGGGTCATAACAGAACACTTCATAAAGAAACATCTTAGTACCAACACACATCCCACAAATAATATACAGACCAACCCAGGTTCAGGATCAGGTCTAAACTGACAGCATGATGGATAGTGACTGACCCCCTCCCCCTTTTGTATGAGGTAAGGGGTGGTAACGAAGCAACAGGAGGTGGCAACCTGCCATTACAGGCGTGATGTGTAACTTGTTTGTATCTGTGTATAAAAGAGTACCCCAAACAATTGTCTTTGTCTGGCTGAGGGGGCATGCTGGGTCCATAGTACTGTCTGAGATATTCCATTTTCATGGGCACATATGCATAGTGGCGCAGTGGCAAGTCTGTTCTCCGATGATTATTAATGTACTTTCCTTGACAATAAGCCTGGCCGTGTGCTTTTAATCCTTTTCTGGTTTGTGGTCTTTAGAGGCTCTCTCGGAGTCTGTCATGTTGACTAATTGTACATGCTAACGTGTTAGACAGGGGAATACCCACACACATGCAGCCAAAAGTTAATCATCAACGGATCAGAAAACTTGTTAGACAGGGGAATACCCACACACATGCAGCACTAACAAATTCTGGACTAAACAGGAAAACAATTCATTGCATTACTAACCTATTGAAAGTTCATTTTCTTCATCTTCATTAGATAATCTTGTGTCCAAGAGACTGTATAGATGTAATGGATCGATATTGCTGTGCAGCAAATCAAGAAAGCTATTTTCAGTCAAAACTGCTGAATCCATGGTTTGTCTTTTGCTACCTGAAACCAAAGCACAAAATGGTAAACATCCATCTACTTTATTCTGTTAATCAATAGTTTATTATGGCATCTACCATTGAATCTACTCTAAAGCAGGCAGTGCTGAAGTCTGTAAAACAGAATGCTGCTTATTTAAACAAGAAGGTTGTAGCAACCTGTTTATCTTTCACTTTCAAAAGTCATATCCTAAAAGCACTGAAATCTGCTACTTCTACCATAACTGCAAGCACTGAAATATTAAGATGGAAGGTACTATAGAACTGCTGCACTAGTTCAGCCACGTGGGTATTGTGTGACCTCAAGAGCGTACAAGAGGTGTAACACACACAACATATAGATTTTTGCACAGGGTTCTAAAATACCTCTGCTATTTCTTTAACAGACTGAGAAATGCACAGATGTATGCAACAATAATAAACCCTGCACACATTTCCCTGCCTCCATGTATTGCAACTCCGAAGCATGCCTGGGGCTGGGAGTTTGGGTACTCCGGTGGTGGTGTCCAGGATGTTTCTACTGCAACTCATGATTTCACTTCTGTACTATGGATTGAAAGAGATGTGCAGGCTATTATGTCCTCAGGTTTTCCATGTTGCCCTCTGTGCAACTGTTATAGGCAGGGGGTACTGACCAGAAAAAACAGGGCAGAGCTGCCCAAGTAGTGTATATGTTTTATTAGCAGGGCTAACATACCTTCAAATTAAATGACTTGCTGGAGGGCAATCTACCCTGCAGCTTTGAAGGAAGGAGAAACAGAAAGAAAGAGGAAAGAACAAAGATCATGAGTTGGAAGGGTTCAGGGGAGGGGAAAACACAGAAAAGACTTAGAGGTTTCGTGATGAAGGACACAGCTGTAGAAGGTGGTTCACTCACTTCATATGGCAGTAGCATTTTTCAGATAACGTGTCCCCTTAGTGCAGCAGGAAGGGGATACAGACAATGATGAGAGATCTAGGTTTTGAGTATTAGGAAGGGAGAAGTAGGAAGTTTTCTAAGCATAGGTTCTGCCTGGGTGGCTGGTTTTCAAATAGCAGGTTTGAAGCATGCAGAGGCAGGAGCAGAGAGAAACGGTGCATTCTTCTGTCTCACTAATCCCTATGCCCGGACCAGTCACAACTTGTGTTAAGTATAAAAATCTTTTCACAAGACTGCTAAAAACTGTAGGATTTGCAGTTAAGCAACTTTAAATCCAAACACTAACTCTAAGTACTAGTCTCACCACTACATGTTTTCTTTGGGGGAACCGCCTCCCTGGCCATTAAAGGAAAGTATTCCTAATTTGCTTCACAGGCTAGAGTAACAATAGATGAATTGGGAAATATCCCTTTAAATAGTTTGGGAATCCACTAGTGAGCCTCCCTATGTTGAGGCTTATCTACACTCACCAGGGGATCAGTGCTGTGGCAATCAACCCCCTGGGTGTCAATTTATCAGGCCTCGCTAAATCAACCACCAATCACTCTTTTGTCAACTTCACCCATACTCCACTGGAATGAGAAACATAAGGAAAGTCCATGGAAGAGTTCCTCCTGTCATCCTTCCGCAGTATAGACACAACAGTAACTAGACCTAAGGTATGTCAACACAACTATGGTATTTCCACATCTGGAGGGCATACATTAGGTTGACTTTTCCCCACAGTGTAAACCTATCCATATGTTGCAGAAGCCAAGAAAACCTGCCAGAGCAGCAGTATATATACGTAGCTAGGCTTTGTGTGTTTACACATAGTTAGCAAAAACTGTCATCTGGAACTGGACTGTGTGTGCAAGGTTGTCCCTTAATGCTGTGTAGAGTTCAAATACAACTTGTGATGCTTGTGGCTCTTTAGACATTGAAACTGGTGCTTGACCTAACAAAGTGGAAGTGAAGTAGTTACCTCTACTTTCACTGAAAACAAAAAGTGGCAAGTTAAGAAAATAAAATGCAGATAATTAGTGGATTCTCAGAGTGTGATGAATGTGAGAGATAGCTGTATTTTGTGTTATGACTCTCATGTACCTCTTCTTGAATGTTATGCTCTTTGCTACACAGCAGGATTAATTCCTGCACAAGATCACTGTAGTTTTTCAGGAAGGAAAGGCAAACAGTAGTTTCATATAACACAGTCAATGGAACTTAATTGACAGGGAGGCCCAGGAAGGCAGGGGTATGGGCCAGGGCCCACTCTCTGTGGCCCTCTTATACTGCAAGCAAGTAGAGAGTCTGCAATGGCTCCACACAGCTGCCAACATGGCTCTTATCATGGCTGGGCTATAGGTCCAAGGCCCATCCCCCTGCAGCCAGAGGCGGGTTGGGGAAAGCTGCGCAGGCATCTGTGGGGAGCCTGGGTCCCTCCACCATCCCAGGTGGGGGAAAGCTCCCCACCCTGCTCTGGGGACAGTGTGGCCAGGAACAGGACCTTGGTAGACAGGGTCCCACAACAACCCCACTTTTGGGGAGGCTCCAACATCCTTGTACAGGAGTCAATGCCTTTGAAGTATTCCCTCTGATCAATCTGCATCATCATACAGACTGACTGGGGCGGCAGGACCCACGTATCTGAAACAAAGAGCTCTAGATAAAAATCCAGTGTCTGGGAGGGGGAGAGATTAGGTTGTTTGGAAAGTGCTCAAGGAGAGCTGACTTACACATGGGGGCAGCCTCTGCAAAATGGGTCTTAGAGAGCTGGGCCTCCCAAGGCACTGTGGGAAATGCTAAGCCTTAGGCTTGTAGACCTCTTGTCATTCAAACTCTTTTCTCTCAATGCTATAAATAAATAATAAATACTTTTTTTTTTTGAAGAAGCTGCTCTGGATCACTGCATTTATGTGCTGGTGACAGCTTCTGAAAGGAAGTCTCTTGCAGGTGCCAAACCCCGCTGACGCTTCTGAGGAATCACGGGTGGTGAACATGGATGTTTATAGCTTGGGTACTGAAGTCCATGAGGGGGGAGAATTGTGGGCTTCCTCAAAGAGAAGACTCAGATAGGCCCCAGCACTTCAAGTGGTGCACTTGAGAGAGACACGAGAGGGGTCACAGGTGCAGTTAATGTTAACATGACACAGAGCAATTCTTGCTAAGTTTTTTGCCTTTACAACTCTGGGCCCTCCGCATCACTGCCGCTGTTTGCTTATAGTGCAGTCCTAATGGGACAGCATTGCAAATGAGGTTCCAGCTGTCACCAGTCTCTGCTATGGACTTTCCCAACATGCTGAGAACTCTCAAGCAAAGCTAACACAGCCTCTCTTAACTTTCTTCCATCTTAAGTGCAGTATAGAGCAGAGATGTGTTGGATGTAGGGAAGCTAATGCTTATTCAGGTCAGACACCTTGCTTTCAGACATCATCTCTGAATTTAGCTCCATATTGAAGGTACACAATACACTGCGGTCCATAAAAAGAAGGCAGCAAGGTACACAGGAGGGGTAAGTTACATCTCGTCAGGTAGGTGACAGTGTGACATAATGTAGCACATGCCAAGAGGCTGGAAGAAGGTGTTTCATCCAACTTAGATTCCATCTATAATGGCCTCCAAATTTGGCTCCAGTGGAGTGCAAGGCTCAGCAGCTGGTTTATGTCTTATTGAGACTCAAGGACCTCTAGGCACAACCTGGCATAGGGTCTGGGGTGCATAATGGTTACAGGGTGTAGGCCTTGCTGGAGGCCCAGACAACTACCAGTGTGAACCAAAGGCTGTGAACCAGAGTAGGCTTGGCCTTGGCAAAATAACAACTCACTAGGTACTGGTTAAGCAAGAAGCATATTCTGATAGGAGAGGATGGTACAAGAATATTGAGAGTTTTCAAGTAACTGCATAAGTAGATTTTTAAGAGATGTTACAGGAGCACACCTTGTAAGATAAGAAGGGTTGACATAATAATGAATTGTGTTGTTTTGCCCAAGACATCAGGAGCAAGATAAAAGGGAGATAATAAACACAACATATTGTGGTATTAAGTTGTTTATCCCAATTGTTTGTCTATAAATATCAAGATGGCTCCCCTTAACTTTGTATGTGGCTAAAGAACAGCAAAGATTCCTGTTAGTGACTGAACTGCTTCTTGGCTTGGGACACTCATATGTTAATAGAATCATAGAATACATGAGTTGCATGAAACCTCAAGACATCAAACTCAGTCCCCTGCCCTCACGGCAGGGCCAAGCACCATCTAGATCATCCCTGACAGATGTTTGTCTAACCTACCCATAAATATCTCCAGTGATGGAGATTCCACAACCTCCCTAAGCAACTTATTCCATTGTTAAACCACCCTGAAAATTAGGAAGTTTTTCCTAATGTCCAACCTAAACCTATCTTGCTGCAATTTAAGCCCATTGCTTCTTATCCTATCACCAGAGATTGCTTTTTGCAACAGCATCACACTGTTGACTCATATTTAGCTTGTGGTCCATTCTAACCTCTAGATCCCTTTCTGCAGTACTCCTTCCTAGACAATCACTTCCCATTTTTTATGTGTGAAACAGATTGACGGATTGTTCCTTCCTAAGTGGAGTACTTTACATCTATCCTTATTGAACTTCACCCTATTTACCTCAAACCATTTCTCCAGTTTGTCCAGATCATTGTGAATTATGACCCTATCCCCCAAAGCACTTGCAAGCTCTTACCCTAGCTTGGTATCATCTGCAAACCTTATAAGTGTACTCTCTATGCCAAGGGTGGGGAACCTTTTTTTTGGGGCCTCTGACCCACAGAAAAATCAATCAGGGGCTGGGGGAAGCAGAGGGAGAGAGGAGCTGGAGTGCCAGCACAGGGTCCCCAATTCTGGGGGGGGGAACCCTGAGCCTTGAGAGGGTTGTGTCCCACTGATTGTCCTCATTCCACCAGGTTTCTGTGATGCCTGTTATGTCAATCTCCTCCTTTAATACAAGATACAGCCGCTCCCCGAGTTACGACCACCTCCACTTATGACCATCTGCACTTACGACCAAAGCGGTCGTAAATGCGGATCCGAGTTATGAACGGCGATCCGCACTTACGAACAGCGCGGTCGCCAT